TATTGCAAATTAATTACTACGGGCAATAATAAATTAACTCATCAAGCTCGACTCAACCCAAACGCTGAAAGTTACTAAGGCTGTTAAAATTTCAAGACTATTATTAGGTACACCAGAAATCGCTGTAGCTAGATCCGCCAGAACTTTTAATTGGCACTCGTCAGAATATTGTTAATAAAATACTGACTATTACTGACTTTATACAAAGCTAATTTATTATGTAACCATAATTAAACTCCGTTGTCGAACACTCACTCTATCGAATGTGCAATTCTACAGAATAAAAAGGTGGATATATCATTCTGAGGCGCAGGTTGTGGAATTAATCGTAATTTTTTTTATATAAAAGGTGGCAAGCGGTGATGTTAAGTGATAATCGCAATTCATGGACATTTGCGTGAGGTTGTGGTACTTCCCCGGACGGACCTGCCTATTCGTGCAACAGCGAAGATTGTTGCCTGGCCTTACCAGAAATTACCATTAAATGTTAGTCAAGAGGTTAGTTTTCATTAAAGCTACACATTATTCTTTAAAAAAAAGCAAAGTATCAGCCTATACATGTCCCACCGCTGGGCAAAGGCCTCTTATGCGCAGAACGTATCAGGGCATAGTCCACCACCCGGCCTCTCTGCGGATTGGCGGACTTACTACTCTTAAACAGATAAATCAAAATCAGTTCTCACAGTTTTTCACAGATTAATAATAATTTTAAAGTAGATTTAAAATTATTATTAATCTGTGACCATATTTTCTACTTCAATTAACGATGTTAATTTGCACAACTAGACTACGTTATTTACGGTAAACCTAAGGCTACGGACGCTCAGTTTATGCCGAAGTCGTAATTTTAGTACACAAACTCGTAAATGCCTAAGTAGCGGTAAACGCACAGGTCTACGGTAGCACTCACTGATTTGATTGATCTTCACGGTACACAGCCTTCTACGTTTTTACAGGCAGATGTCAAGAAAATGAAAGGAAAAAGCGGGGAACATAATTAATTACTTTATTTGGACATTAATGACCCGGTCAAAGAGGATGAGGGTTTATTAGTGTGTTTTTCGCAGACGATCTCTCGTGATATTGGGCATTGGAGTGCCTTGACAGTCCACTTACGAAAATTGCATTTAAAAAACATAAAAACGCTCCGCCATAAAATTTGCGAGAGCTCACGTTTATTGTCTGTTTGACAAAACGACTTTTTTCTTCGCGACGCAAAAGGTACACTGAGCCCTTCTTTAATATTTTCGAAGCAAGAGGTATCCCTCAAATAATACGAGAAAATAAAAAAAAATACCCCGTAAGTCATTCCGCTGATGGATTCTAAATGAATATTCTGCGCGACAAAGAAGAAGGGGTGTCGCGAAAAAGCAGTTTAAATTTTCACAGCGAAAAAAGTCGACGCCATCGCAAAACCTTAAAAAAGCCGTGGCAAATAAATAAGGAGGGCAGGGACACGTTCCTATTTAATTATGAATTAAGACCCAGCTGTAACGAGATCACAATGTAATTAAGATTACTGAGGCGAGGTTTTCCAGAGCGCCCCAACAAGTGAGAGTAAATGGCCGGCAAACTAACGTGGAAACCTTGATTTTCCCCGACAGCAAAAACGAAAACAAGGAATAAAAAAGGAGGAGCAAAAAGAATCACTTATTTTCGATTAGATAGTTGCGATAGCCATATTACGTTACGTTACGTATTTACTTCTAGCTGAAGATCGTTTTTGTGGTTGTAAATTAAATGTTTCTGCGAATTTGTTTTAATAAATTTTAAGCCGTGCTAGCAGATTATTATAATGACTCGGGTGAATCAGTGCCGCAAATGCTAAGTTATTGGCTTCGGCGCCAGCATTTGTAGGTTCGATTTCCACACAGAACAAGTATTTGTGTGACCACAAATACTCGTTCCAAGGAGGATTGAACTCAGGCAGGCGGTTGGTCGTAAAAAGGCAGTCGTATGTCCAAAGACGGTGGTACTAAGATAACATCAGGTTCTTCATCATCATCTTTCCCACATATTAAAGAACATCGACAGTTTAATGTGTTCGTACATTCGTTCTGAAACGATAGCAATATGTTAAAGATTTGAATTGGTTCGGATAACTTTTCTTATCTCTGACTGGCGTTAGGTATAAGTTTTACATCAATAATAACCGCCCATAGCATCAGAAAAAGACAAAGCATAACTTCAAAGTACAACATAGCTAAAAAGCCCGCACAAATTAGTATAAAATATTTATTCTGGATATAGAACACAGAGAATGAAAATCCCTTTGAGAATGACTGCAAGTAAATATCAAGTCTTTTGATATTAAGAAATAAATTCTATAGAGAAATTTAAATTATAAAGTTTTTTGTTCAACAGTAGAAAGATTAAGCCGGTATAGTTTTATAACTTATGTTCAGTAAACCAGTCTGAGAAATTTTACCGACTTTATTATATCCGTTACGTATTTTACTTTAAACTACAATAATCATTATAAATTTATAAGTAATTAATAACATTTGATCCCTGTGTTTGCTGTAACGTAAAAGCCAAAATGCACCTATTCACTCCAAATTAATTTCCGAATGACCCTTCTGTATCAACCATGGATATATTCCGAGTATTTCTACCTACCTACAGACAGACCGAAACAACTCTTTCATCGGCATTCGATGTCAGGACAGCAGCGAAATACAAAATTGGGGTAGAGGGTTAAGCCTCTAAGCCACCATTACTCTTAGTTGCGGGTCATGCATTCGAATTACAGACACGTGGAAAGTTTCTGTCGGAAACAGGATGGTCCTGTGATATACCTTGAGTAGGTCACTCGTAGTTGAACCGGAACGTGTCGCACACATTAACCAGAGTAGACTAAGTTTAAATTCAGTAAACGTTCCGATTCTAAGTTTAAATAGCAAATGTAGTTTTAAATTCAAACAAAATTTTAGTATTTATATCAAATGGATTAATTTATTAATTTTAAGCTGTCATTTTATCAAGTACGCAATCGGCAATTAATAAGTGATAGTTGAAGTTATTTACGTGGGTATATCATAATGGTTTTATTTAAAACGGAGCACAGAATTGTAAACTATATAGTATTTCTTTTATCTTTAATGCATCCTAATATCAGCAATGTACACACAACAAAGCTATATAAACAGAAGTTATAAAAACCATTATAAATAAGACTATACCTACTAATCGATCCAAGGGAAACAGATTGATTTTTACGTTTTCACTCTGTTTGGCAAAGGAGAGGCAAAAAAGTAAAAGTAAAGTAACAGCCTTTATATGTTCCACTGCTGGACAAAGGTATAGTCCACTACGCGCCTCACTACGGATTGGCAAACTTCACATTATTTCCGATTTTTTTTATTATTTCAATAATATGTAAGTTTCTCACGATGTTTTCTTTCACCGCTGAAACGTGATAAATTAATTGGTGCAGGTAGCGAGGACCGAACTCGCCGAACCGAATTAAAAGCGAGCGCACGGACAATGAGCTATGACAGTATAGGAAAGGTAAATCATCGTTAAATTAAGTGGTAATCTTAATTTAAACTTACTCCGAACATACTACATACTTTTAACGGCGGTAGGGCCACGCAGCAGCCTCGGCTGTTGCACGAATGGGCAGGCTCGTCCGGGGTAAGTACCACGACCTCACAGAAGTCCGGCATAAAGTGGAAGTATAATACTTTCGCGTTTCGTCTGGTGAGTGAGGTGGCCGGAGCCCAATTTTCAAACGGTTGTCAACGCATCTGGAACCCTCGGGTGTAGCAGATGTCCATGGGCGGCGGTATTCACTTAACATCAGGTGAACCGTCTGCTCGCTTGGCAAGTTTTCACATAAAAAAAAAGAACATACTTTTTAACATAACTTACAGCAAACTATTAGAAGTTTTATTGCAGCACAGATCGCTTTTGAATAAAACCCAAAACTAAAATTACTGGTACGCTATTTTCAGTAAACGTGAAATGAATATCAAAAATACAGTCGAATTGAAAATTTACTCCATTTTGAAGTCGTATAAAAAGAACATAAATGGCTGCAAAGTGGATTAACTTGAGAACCTTTGCCTGTGACTATTGAGATTGCAATAAAAATACAACCACGGGTATTGTGGTCCCTCAATTGTAAATGCATTTTCCTAACACATGTTAAGCTGATTTTTTTTATTTCGCCTGTAACAATACAATTTGCAGAGAACGAGTTCACCACGATCGAAAAAAAAAAGGTGCGATAAAACTTTCATAAAGTCCAGAGTATGTAGTGAGTCATGGGACAAAATAGGTCGGTATGCAATAGCAATTAAAAGTTATGAGAACATTTTCTTAACACATAAAATTAAAAAAGTTGATGCATCATTCATTATAATAGCAATTGAATAACGATGAATCCGTAGCGCAGTAGATCCAAGATATTGGCTTCGGCGTCGGGGGTCGTGGGTTCGATTCCCACACGTGACAACGATTTTTGTGAGTCACACATAGTTGTTTCGCATCTGGGTGTTTGTCCACGTGAAATTTATGTTTGTATAACGTCCTTACAATACAGGATAATGTTATCCTAAGGTAAGAGCAATGTTTTTTTTTAAATAATAAATAGATAAATTATCAATAACTAAAAAAACATACAGGATAAAAGAGCCTTGGGGCTCATGCGAATACATGTATAGTTTTATGCTGAAGAATTAATAATAATTCTTTCGTTTGTTTAGATAATTGTTCCGGATCTAGGTGTTTGTTCCCCGGGAGGGTTGACATCAGGCTGTTTGTAAAAAACCTAGCCAAAACCACTTAAAACATGATTCACATGTTGTCCCGACCCCACCTACGTGGGATAAGAGCAGGAGGATGACGATGATGATATGTATTAAAAAATTAGAAAGAGCAACCTCATGCATTCTCTGCCGAAATATGAAATTTTAGCGAACAATATTCGATAAAATTGCACTTTCAACAGCGAGATTTTTTAACTTATCGAATTCATTAGGTGGTACTAAACCTACCTTTTTGGCGGCGGAATCCTGATTGTTGTTGTCAGCGTGGTGTGGAGCGGCAGGTGCCATGACGGTGACGCCACTCTGCGAAAGAAGCTCGTCTGAGCCTCTCTGCAACAAAAGAGGTTTCATATGTTAATTTTTTTTATAAATTACATGACTCTTAACTAAGACTATGGGCAATTATCAAGATACCAGCATTTTTGTTTTATGATACGGAGTTTAGGTAATTCATTGGGAAAGAACTTCGGTGGCGCAATTTCTCAGGTAATGGGATCGTCGCCGGTGGTCGTGGGTTAGATTCCACACAGAACAAGTTTTTGTGTAGCCCTCAGATAATTGTCCCGGTTGAAATCAGGCAGGCAGCAGTATATATTGATATTTCTGAATGCATATTTAGTAGGTTTGACAATATATTGGCCGATTACAATTTGCATATTCTAACCGTGATAGAAATATAATTATGGGATAATTATTATTCGAGCATTAATTACTTCACTCGATTTACATACACCTTCTAAAAGGTTGTCAACGCATCCGCAAACCCTTGGGTGTAGCAGATGTCCAAGGGCGGTGGTATTCACTTAACTTCAGGTGAACCACCTGCTCGTTTGGCAACTTTTCACATAAAAAAAACCTACCCGATTGTACTCCCGCGCTAATAAAGTCGGCGCGTTATGATTAGCGAAGAGAAGAAACAAAAATGAGCGCGCGTCACGCCGTTACGCGGATCAATCTCAATTTAAGGCGAGGAAATGACGGGCCCGGCAGTAAAACGCACCGGCCCGATGTATAAATCACCCGGCGTAATAAGGCAAATGTACAAATAACTGACGACGCGGTACACGCGACTCCCGCCGAGGGGGTTTCGAGTTGCCAGTGAATATGGCGGTGCTCGCACCTGGTGACAGGTTGGGGCCTTGGGGCATCCATCACGCCGAGGACTTAATAAGAGCCACATGTTGCTCGTGCGTTTCGGGAGATAGATTATAAGAACTAGTCCACCTGGATTCGCTATACAAACATTTGACCACAACGCTGACTGCTTATTTCTTTAACGGTGAGCTCGCTATATAATTATTGCTTCTAAAATATATTTTGTCAGTCTGAACGTATTGAAGTTGCGACGTATTCAATCTGTTAAGGCATGGACGCCCTTTTAATTTTTTAGAATGAAAAGTTATTATTATAGCAATCCCTCGAGATTTATATTATGAAGATATTTCCCTCCCCCTCATTTTTGTCGCTTCGCAAATATTGAAATGTTGGCAACTCAAACAGATATTAGAATTACTCTTTTCCAACAATTTGCATAATAGAATAAAAAGATTACGGTAACAGCGGGAATCCTATTTTACGACATAAAGCTTTCATTGTAGAAAAAAGAACCGTATTCTCGGGAATATAACCGACACGAGGTCCAATTCCTCGGAGTAATTTGGTAGAGCGCGTGTAATAATTGCCCGAAATTAAATAACATTTTTCACAACAAAGAAACAACGCGGATGAAAATTTCGTACCCGAAATGGCAGATTGCGTCGGAAAATAAGGCTGCTTTCGTTTCTATAACAATTTCTCAAGTTAATGAAGAGTGATGTTAGTTCTCTTAACAAAGGAGACTACGGAGGTATCGGCAGCTAGAACTGCGAAAGTACAATCGCGCGAAGCTTATTAAGTGAAATAAATTTAAAGAGTGCTCTAAATTTTCAAAGCAAAGGATTTACCAAACGTATTTACTAAAGTAAACTATACATAATCAAACTAAATAATACTCACAAAGCAGAATGAGATTTATAGATTAAAAAATTATTAAAAAGGATATTTACAAACAGATTGAAATTGCTTAATTGGTGTGAGGAAAATGAAAGTGTACGCTTTTATTGAAAAGGCGATAATTTAATTTATGTCAATTACAGACACATTATTTTTGTCTAATAAGAAAGTACTCGGAGGACCGAGCTTTGCTCGGTTTGTTTTTTTTTTGTAAATCGTGTATCTTGGAAATTACATTTAGATACAAATTACTGAGTAATGTAATATGCATAATATTTTTCGATCTTACCGACCTAATAATAAGGAAATATGAAGTAGTGTTTTTCGCAAAAGAAACAACTTTAAAAAAAAGGGGAAAATATAACAAAATCATCTGGATCAATAAAAAATAAAAAATAAAGAACGCAATGACCTGGAATCTAAAAAAAAATTAAAAAGATTGTGTAAATGATCGTGACACGAACCACGGCCGTATGTTTTGGGGCCGCCCGATAACCGACCGAGCTATTATAACATTTTGGTTTGCGGTGAAATTTACCTTCATATTCGAATGATATTTTTCATTCCCTAAAAACAGGGATAAAAGGACCTTTTCTAAAAATGAAACCTATCTAGATCGATTTTTCGCCCCCGAATCTACGCACATACTAAATTTCATGAAAATCGCTGAAGCCGTTTCCGAGATTCCGATTATATATATATATATATATATACATAGTGGATTCATTGCTCGTTACTCTATTTGCCAGCCGAACGGGCGCGATTATTCGTAACCGTCCTTTTTTTTTTTTGGTATCGGGGGGAAATCTTCAAAAGATACCCTGTCACTTTACATGACAGGTTTATGTGGGGTTCTTACCCACTAAAACCCCCTCGGTGGCCGCCTTCTGTACATTTGGAGGGACTCCCGGATCTCCCATGGAACGCACCGGTGTCCCTCGGTACTACGCCTGAGCACGCCTCGGAGAAGGATAAACCTTCTCCGATCCCCTCACCCTCTTGCAGCAAGCAACACGAGACCACTTCGTGCTGCTGCCCATCCGTGAACCCCTTTTAGTCGCCTGTTACGACAGGCAGGGGATACCTTAGCCATATTCTATGAGCCCGGGACTACAGGGCTGATTCGTAACCGTCCTACTACATTAATTGCATTGTCTATATTGGTTTTATGTATGATTATTTTAAAACCTATTTTACTCCAAATGAACTGGAACCATTTGGTACGTCGTGGTAGTTAAAAGCGCGACGGAACTGACGAAAAACGTTCACTGAACAAGAGAAGAATGGAAGCGATGGCCATTACGAACACAAACGTTCGCCTGCCACCCGAACATTGATAAATGAATACGCGGCCCTATAAATCCTTCATGCGACGTCAAAAGAAGTAATAATACGTACATAAATGTAAGTTTGAATAAGACTGGTGCAAAATCAATTCCCTATATTGGCTCACCGCGAATGTGTTTGGTTTTACTCTTGAAAGAAAACTCTAGATATTCCCCCGATCAAAACATACTGAAACGTTTCTCCAATATGTCATTCGAATGAATGTGATATGAGGGCCCTTCGTATCAGAATATTATCAGGAATAAAATATACATAAAAGGTGGGGTTTACTTAGATCAGGCGAGCAAATATCGGACCTTTCTAGAGATCCCCGTATAAAAATAAGTGGTTTCAATTATTTAGTATAATAAAACTTTAAATTTTCAATTTCAATGGTATAACAGAATGCTAGCAATATCCAAACAAAAAATAAAAAAGGTAGGAACTTTCCTAAATTGAATTATATACGGAACCCGATTTTAATTTTGCCCGATATTGCGGTTTGACAAAATGAGAGTATATTTTCGTCTTTTTTTTCTTTAAGAAGGACGACAGAATCATTGTTGCGAATCGATACGTGTAATCTATTAGTGATATTAAAATGTACGACGAGATAACGTCGAGATGGGTCGGTCAGATTTTACTTTTTATTTCAAAAGGGTCATGCTATTCTGTTGATTGCTTCTGTCAATATTACTTTACGCCGTTTACGGTGCCGTTGTTTGCTTGACCAAATTAATTTCCGAAATCAAATTACGAAAAAAAAAAAACAGAAACGCACAGTATTTTTATTTGGTATTAAATAAGTATACATAGTCCTATCTCTTAAGGATCACGAAACGTGGTAGTTTTAACTGTATGAATTTTGATACGCTGCTTTTTTTAAACAAAACTATGACAAAAGCAACATCGAACTTGACGGGGTCAGAAAATGTACAATAGCGGCGTTTTGGCATTTCGATTAGCACTATATATAACAGCAGTAAAAGTGTCAGACGCAAAAACAGTATATTTTTGCAAATTTCTAAACGGTTTTGTACTTGTATGTTGATAAACCGTTTTGAAAAGGTTGTTAGCGTATTCTCGATCAATCCTGTAAATTTTGATGTGGTAGCATCAGCAAGCTATTTTTTTTTTTCGGGATAAAATGACACGTAAAAATATACGATACATTATCATCATAATTGACTAGAGGACGTTTACTGGGCTTTCTACTTCGAACGCAACACCAAGATGTTGTTCCGATATTGTTAATACCAGATTCCATTCAAATCACTACATTGGTTGTCTCGTGAAGAGAGCAGGTCCGTTTCCGCGCCGAATTACCATGTGATGGGTTCATAAAATGTAAACGTTTCACTTCCAGTTGCGGATATGGCATGTATGAAGTACGCGTTTAGGCGAGGCCCACCCCTCGCAATTTTTATGAAGCCCATAAACACGAGCGATAACCAACTATCGATGTCGTATGAAATATTTATTGCGCCGCTAACTCTATTCAAGTCGTTAATCGGTTCCTGTTCCAATAAACGGCTGAAGTTAGGAAACTTTTCTCATTAGGAATTAGATATGTAGAAATATCTACCGGATAGCTGGAAACGATTACCTTGCAATAATTGTCGTTACATATTGCTTTATTTGCCAACTTCCTTAATATTATTAGTACTTTAATTAGCGAATTTTCTTATAAGAATTGTCCAAAAAAGCTTGACACTATTACTCTAAATCTACCTGTGCTGAACCAGATAAATGTTTATTACATAATAATAATGTATAAATGTATATGTATACTATAAGTAATTAAATACAACAAACTTAATTTGGAAAATAAAATAACCTCGATATAATATGTAATTTTTAACAACTAGAATTATATAATTTCTTGAAGTGAAGCTCCACTTGATAATAAAATATTATTAGATTCAATTAAAACTGGAACATATCACGAAAATAGACCAAATGCGACTTCTGTGGTCCAGTACATTGTTTCTGTGGTGAAATAAAGGAAGGGGGGCAGAATATGAAGGTTTACGATGGGGATGAAAAATCGCTTCGGCATTTATGGCGTTATTGTTCTCCAGAATGGGTACACCTAATATGGAGAAGAATAGAAAGCGTTATGGCACGGGAAAGCTGCACGGGTGCTTATAATTTTTATCGCCGTTCCACAACCTTAACAGTTCTATTTTACTCGTATCGTGTAAATTTAGCCGTGTAAAATAAACGTAAAATATTATCGTGTAAATTTTAATAAAATACTTCAAAAATGAAACCGTGAAGCGTTAGAGTGTGAGGAGACGAGATATAACGCTAGGCTGGCTTAATAAATTTATATAGAGAAAAAACGTCTCAAACCACTGATTTCTTTGCGAATTGTCTACACAAATACTATGTTTATGAGCTGAAGTGTTATTGAGAGTTAATTTTTCCAAAGAAATAATTTACACTACATATTACATTTTTCATATAAAAAGCATTACTAGAAATAAAATTATATTTTTAGTGAATTATTGAGTGCAGAGGAAAATATAATAAGCATTATAAAAAGAAAAACGAATGAGTGGTTTAAAATTGTTTATTCAAGGTTGGATCAAACAAAATCAATAAATAAAGTATTATTCTTTAGCGCACTAGAAAATTAGGGAGAGAAAGAGTTCGAATTTTGACAAAAAACATTCCATCATGGAAAGCCGGCGCTTAGTATACGACTTATGTACGTATTTTGTATATGTTTAATGTGCGATAATCGAAAAATATTAATTGCTATTATTCTCTAGACGGTAAGCTTCCTCTTGACCCGGATCAATTCGATGCAACAACTCACAGATGTAAAAACTTTTACTGAGCTAGCGCGTTTACCGT